GTCTCAGTGGCTATCACCAACTATAATTTAAGGTATATAATATCTCTTAGTTAGGGAATCTATCTTAAATTATAGTAGGATCCCTAATATGGTTGAAGGTATATTCCTAAACCCTAAACCCTAAACCCTAAACCCTAAACCCTAAACCCTAAACCCTATTCCTTAATTAAGGGATATTGGAGTCTCTGGGGATCCAGACCCTCACGGTCGCGTGGTGAATCCCGCGCGGACGCGCGATGGCAGGCGAGCCGGTCTTTTCCTACCTTCCGAAGAGGGGGTTTCCGAAAATAGGGTTTAGAGTTTAGGGTTTAGGGTTTAGGGTTTAGCGTTTAGGGTTTAGGGTAAGGTTCCTATTATTTAGGGTACTCTTTTAGGGTCCCCTATTGTCGGAAATCCCCAAGAGGAGCTTCAGAAGCTTCGCGGCACGGTCTTGTTGCGCAGGAAGTGTGGAAGCAAGTCCAAAAGGTCGTACCGGGTTCGATCATGAGGGATCTCAAGAGGTGGAAGGTGGAGAGCGAGGGGGGCGCGGCCGAGGAGTTCACCGAGGAAGTTCATATCTGTGCACAGCAGCAGGTCTCCGAGATGATTCAGTTCGGGTTTCATCCTCTCGACGTGCGACCAGTTCTGCGACAGGGGCCCTTCGTCAATCAGGGGGGGTCCCTTGGGTATTGGAAGAGTTGGGGTGTGGGATACGTATCATAATTCAAGCCTAGGTGACGTGACGGTACTGATGTCTATTGCTTACCTAATTTAATTAGGGGAAAGACAATTCTTAAGCCCCGAAGCCCCCTGGAACCCCTACAAAGACCTGAAGAACACTGCAAACTTGAGACAGCTGCTCTAAATCACCCTAAACCCTAAACCCTTAACCCCTAAGCCCTAAGCCCTAAACCCTAAACCCCTAAACCCTAAACCCGAAACCCTCTAAAATCACTAAGGCACCCTGATCGCCCAGCGGACCCCAAAGGCACAAGAACTTAAACCCCTGACGTAGGGAATAGCACCCGAAGTGACCCCGATAGATCCCGAAACCTCGTCTATTGACTGAAAGAATCAGAGTCCTAAACCCTAACTTTCAAGTCGTTTACGGCTTAGGGTTTAAGACAGCCCCAGGGCCCCACATCCTACCCTAAACCCTAAACCCTAAACCCTAAACCCTAAACCCTAAACCCTAAACCCTAAACCCTAAACCCTAAACCCTACACCCCGAACCACAAACCCGAAATTTCAGTCCCGAGCCCTGCCTGGGGATCCAAAAACCCTACCGTCCCAAAGGGCTCTACCCTGTAATTAAGGGGTCATAGCCTGCTGAGGGTTTGGGGGTTTAGGGTTTAGGGTTTAGGGTTTAGGGTTTAGGGTTTAGGGTTTAGGGTTTAGGGTTTAGGGTCTCAGGTAAACCTTGAAGAACCAAACCCCGATCAAAACCTGAGCTTCCAAAGCACGCCGAAACCTGAATCGCTGCACTCCTAAGCTCCGCGCACCGCCAGCTTGCGAGGACGGCAGCCACCGCGCCTTTGGAGAGGCAAGCGCCGGGATTTGCGTTTTTCTTTGAGCTGCAGCAAGTTCCGCTTCTTTTCTATTTCAACTTTTCCATAGGTTCATGCGGTTTTCACAGATTTTTGCAGGTTTGTCACGGTTGTCACTAAGGTTTGTAATTAGAGAGTTGTGAAAGAAAAGCTTATTAGGGCTCCATCTCCTAGAAGTGCAGTTCCCTTTGAAGGATTGTTGGTAGGTTGTTGTGAGATGACGGGGGCCTTAATAAACAAGACAGGGTTTTGGGGCATATGTTAGTATACGTATAATAAGATAACCAACCTTAAAAATGAGATTGGTCATCATTCGTTCAGGGCTTTGGGGTTTCGAGTTCCGGATTCTCCGATCCCACTGCTGCGCCGTGGAGCAGACTTCCTAACCTGCGTGCACAAAAAAGCCTTCTACCACCCGTATTGAGACTTACTTTGAGTAGGCCGCTGAACCATAAACCCTACACCCTAAACCCTAAACCCTAAACCCTAAACCACCTAAACCCTAAACCCTAAACCCTATAAGCCCCAAACCCTAAACCCTAAACCGAAAACCCTATCAACCCTAAACCCTAAGCTCTATAAACCCCAAAAGCCTAAACCCTAAACCCCTGAACCCCCGAACCATAAACCCTAAACCCCATAAGCCCTAAACCCCTGAACCCTGGATCCCCAGGCCCAAAAGCACCAGCACTTTTTAGGGTTTAGGGTTTAGGGTTTAGGGTTTAGGGTTTAGGGTTTAGGGTCCCCGTAGAACGCTTACAGGAACCCTCCAAAGGAGGGTTCCTTGCAGGCCATCGTGAACTGCTAAATCCTAAAGCCCTAAACCCTAAAGCCCTAAAGCCCTAAACCCTAAACCCTAAACCCTAACACCCTAACACCCTAAACCCTAAAGCCCTAAACCCTAAACCCTAATCCCCAAATCCCTAAACCGTAAACCCTAAACCCTAAGTAGCCCTAAACCCTAAATTCTAAACCCTAAGTTGCCTGATCCCCTAAACTTTAAGCCCCAAGCTGCTTTAAACCCCCTGAAACCCTCAACCCTAGGGTTTAGGGTTTAGGGTTTAGGGCAATCCTTCCACCCTGAAGCACTCAGCAAAGCCGTACCAAGGAGCCCTCGTAAGAACCCGTAGATGCGGAAGTCTTAAAGGAAGCACCCTAAACCCTAAACCCTAAACCCTAAACCCTAAACCCTAAACCCTAAACCCTAAACCCTAAACCCTAAACCCCTAAACCCTAAACCCTTAACCTCATCGTATAGTCCCCCTCAGTTTGGCGCCCATAGACGAAGCCTTGAGCCACACATGCGCGAAACACCACTCTGGTGTGTTTCCAACCCTAACGCTTGACGAAGCCATGAACCCTAAACCCTATACCTCTAAGGGCTTTAGGAGGGACCCTTAATAGGGACCCTTGGAGGTTATTGGGGTTTATATGGAGACTACCTGGCTATATAAGGGGTATATAAGGACTATACAATGATTATTTAAGGCAATGGGGTTAAGGGTCCCTATCAGGGGTCCCTCCTAAAGTCCTTCGAATACCCTATGCCGTAAACCCTATAAACCCTAAACCCTAAACTCGAAGGAACATTGAAGGGAACCTTCGAAGGAACGAAGGAAGCTCCAGAAGAACCGTCAAAGGAGATCCCCTCAACGGGAGCCCCGTAAAGGAACCCCTTCAATTCCACAGCAAGGCCATCGTCAAATCTCTGATGTCCAAGGAGATGGATAAGGCTGGGTTTAGGGTTTAGGGTTTAGGTTTAAGGGCCTTCAAGGGAACTCTAGGATGTCTCTTGGGGCAGGGTCGAGGATTTAGGGTTGAGGGCTTTGGGTTTGGGGTGAAGGGCTTGGCGCTCAGCTTTAAGGGCCTACTCTATCAGGATGCGGGGTCTGGGGCTTTAGGGTTTAGGGTTTAGGGTTTAGGGTTTAGGGTTTAGGACTTCATACGGCTGTGCAGGGTTTCCAGGCTTTGGGTTTGGGGATTGCGGCTTAGAGACATCAGGTTTTTTAAGTTACGGCTTAGAGACATCAGGTTTTTTAGGGTTTTTAAAGGGTTTATGGGCTTTATGTTTTCTTCTAACGGGTTTCACTGCACCTCTATGGGGTTCAAGCTCTCGCTTCCAAAACCCTGAACACTACACCCTAAATCGGGTTTAGGGCTTTGGGTTTAGGGTTTATCCCGAAACCGTTTTAATGTAGCAGCCCGAAGGCTTCCCATTGCAATTTCTCATCTATTATACCTCCCGAACCCTATTCCAATTCCTAAGGCCCCTAGATTAACCGGTTTCGGTACAAGGTTCTAGCGGCGCAATATAGGCGCCTTAGTAATTACCTATATTATTTTGGGGGTTCCTTATTATAACTATGGTATAACCCAAAACCTACGCTAATTTTTAAAGGCCCCTACATTACAAGCCTCTAGCGGCGTACTGTTTCCGAGGCGGGGTCAAGTGTTCCAGATCTTGGCTTGTTCTGGTAGCTGCTCTTACCGGCAACTACTACATTAATGTAGGGGCAATACTACAACATACAAGTGTTACATTAAGGAACGAACCTTATGTATTCTGGTTGTTAAGTTTTCCATATCACTGCTACTGCTGTTGCTACGGTTTCAGTACTCAGGGCTTCAGGGTTTGAGGGTCTTAAGGTTCACGGTCTACTACTTCGAGCAATCGTATCCACAACGAGGCTTTGTTCGTATCACTACGAAGGTTAGGCGTCGTCCTAGCAACAGTGACAAGCTCACATGCTGACCCTGACCCCTAAACCCTAAACCCTAAACCCTAAACCCTAAACCCTAAACCCTAAACCGCGAGGCTCCTTCCCCACCTCAAGAATCTAAAAGCACCTGAACCTCACGCAGAGGAGCAGAAGCCTAGTGTTTCAGGGGGTTCTATCCAATAATCTAAAAGGTCACAAGATTTTTATTTTTGTAGGGTTTGGGGCAGTATAGAACTTCAAACCCTGAACCCTAAACCCCAAACCCCAAAGCCTCGTCCAGGTTGTTGCCTGAACCCTAAACCCTAAAGCCTAAACCCTAAACCTAAACCCAAACCCTAAACCCAAATCCCCAAAGCAGGTTGTTGCCTGGGTCACCTCCATGACAGACCGAACTTTGAGGGGCCTCGTGAACGAGCTGAGCGAGAGGCCGAGGGTTTAGGGTTTAGGGAGAGCATTTGGGAGGCTTAAGAATCTACCTTTTTTGGGTTCCTCTTTAAGGTTCCCTATAGAAGTCCTCAAGAACCTACCTTTCTGAGTTCCTCTTTAAGGTTTCTCTATAGAAGTCCTTAAAAAGGTAGGATCTTTGGGGTCTAGGTAGGGTTTGGGAGGTTTAGGGCTTGGGAGGTTTAGGTTTATTTTAGTTAGGAGTTTCATGTAGGGTTTAGGGTTACAGGTTGCGCTTTAGTTCAGGGGATTTATGTATAGGGTTAAGGGTTTAGGGGTTTAGGGGCTTGGGGCTTAGGGTTTAAATAGGGCTTAGTGGGTGCATTCTTGCCGGCCTCGACTGTAGTACACACGGCACGCAAACGATCCGAGGCAGCCAAGGCGAAGAAAGCCTGCGGGCATTGCCGATGGCGGGCCCATGGTGGATATTGGACAGAGAGGTGTACGTTCACAGATTCGAACGGTGTGGTTCGCAGCTGGCTGCAGCGAGCCACTCAGGAGGAGGGCAAGTTTAGCTTGGAGTGCTCCCTCTGCAAGGCCTTGGCTGTGCGGTTCCCAGAGAAACTTGCCAAGAGCAGTCTGTACGTTAAAGGAACTCTTGTTCCTCGTGGTCTCGAGGACTTGCTTCGTCATGCCGGAGATGCTAAGAAGTCGAAAAAGAGAAGCGCATTCCACCAGGAGGCCCTGCATTATCACCTAAACCCTAAACCCTAAACGCTAAACCCTAAACCCTCAACTGTCCGAGTCGGCCGAGCCAGGAGACGGCAAGAGTGACTCAAGTCGGCCTTTGCATGGGTTTAGGGTTGCGGGGTCCCGATTCACCCCCGAACCGAGCACCAAAACCTCCTAAATCCTTTGCCTTGTATATGGGTGCTTCCAACCCTGGGTCCCCATTTTTTAAGAGCACCTACATTGAGCCCATGAGCCCGTCTTGGGAACGTTAGTAGGGTTTTCAGGGTTTGAGGTGTGGGGTGTAGGGTTTGCGGGGTATAGGTTTGCGGGGTATAGGTTTGCGGTTCCTAAAGACATTTTTTTGCAAAGCCACTTGCAACAAGCAAGACAACCCTATAAAACTTTTTTAAAAAAACCAGTATGGTAGCCCTGACGGAGCCCTTTTAAAGGAACCCTTCAGAAGGAACCCCCAAACGGAACCGTGAAAAGCAGCACTACAAGAGCCCGTAGAACTTTTAAACCATCTAAGCCATCTGAAACCTTGAACTCCCTACAAAATCCTGTGCAACCCCATAAGCCTTGCAAAACTCCACAAAAACCCGATTAGTCCCCATTTACCCCTATACATACACAACCAAACCCGACACCCTGAACCCTAAACCCTAAACCCTAAATCGGGTCTTCGGAAAGGTTCTTCGCGTTGCAGCGCCAGCTGCTGCAGAGACGGGAGCAGCTCAAGGAAACTCTCGCTGGCTTTTTACGAGTGTGAGGGTTCAGGGTTTAAGGTTTAGGGTGCAGGGTTTTGGATTTAAGGTTTAGGGTTTAGGATTTTAAGGTTTAGGGTTTAAGGTTTAGGCGGTTTAGGGTTTAGGGTTCAAGGTTTATGGTTTAGGGATTTGGTCTAAGGGCTCAGGGTTTGGGGGATCAGGGTATAGGGATTTAGAGTTTCGGGGCTAGGGGTCCACGGTATATATGCATATGTTCACATCCAACCTTTTCTTGGTGATGGATCCGGTTGTGATCTGGGGTAGCAGATCAGCTGCTAGCCTGCTTGAGCTGGGGTGAGTAGTGCTGTGCAGGATCAGCTGAGCAATGTCTGCATGGCTGCGGTTTACTAAACCCTAAGCCCTAAACCTTAAAGCCTAAACTCTCTAAGGCTTCGGGTTTAGGGTGGCGTAGGGGTCGGAATGCTTAGTGATAGTGTCCCTTTGGGTTCCTTAATACATTTAGTATAGAGTCTAGTATGACCCTCAGACCTTGGAGAAACAGCTTATTGAGGCAGCTAGAATAGTATCATCCGCGGAGGCTCGCAATGTACGGGTAGCGCCGGCTGGAGCCTCTTCAACGGTACAGGGTTCAGGCTTGGTTTACAGCATGCACACTGGACCACATGCCCGACTGCTTTGGCCCTAAACTCTTAACCTTACACCCGCTTACTTTAGGTCCTGCCTCCGCTCTGCAACAGTTAGCAAGCATGTTTGCTATACTTGTATTCAGCCGTTTATATTACCTCTAAACCCTAAATCCTAAGCCCTAAACCCTGAACCCGATTATAGCTGCAGGGTGGGGGCAGTAGCCAAGGCTTACCCTCTATGCTACTCAACCGAAGACTGCCAACCGAGTGCGTATAAATACCTAGGACTATCAGGGTACTGTAGGTTTTAGGGTTTAGGTTCTAGGGTTTAGGGTTTGGGTTCCCCGGTGGTACCCTTTTGCCCTTTCTCTTTTGGGGTTCCCTTATTAAGGCCAAATAGTAGGCACAAGGGTACCCTTATCATTCGGGGCTACTGCGCAACCTAGATGCCAAACTGCACTATTTTATGTGGGGTCCGGACAAGTCGGAATTATGCTGCCTTAAGTGCCTCTGTAGCCATTGTGCATTGTATTATACCTCTGGGCCCTATCCGAAACAAAAGGCCATGGACTTATATAGAAGCCTAAATAATTACCAACAGTATTTTGGTGGTTCCTTATTAGAAGTATAGTATAACATACCCCACGACCCTATTCTAATTATTAGGGCCCCTAGACCCTCAATTCTGGTAGTAGCCCTTCTAGAACCCCCTTAAAGGAACTTTAAAGGAACCCCTAAGGCCCCTAAGTACTCCTTAAAGGAACCCCTAAGTACCCATTCGAGGAACCCCTAAGTACCCCTTAAAGGAACCCCCAAGTACCCTACTCTAACTATTAAGGCTCCTCCATTACACGGAGAACCGCGAAGTCCCAGCACCCGAAGCCCTAAACCCTAAACCCTAAACCGTAAACGCTGAACCCTAAACCCTAAACCCTAAATCCTAAACCCTGAACTTACAGTTAAAGTGTTGGGCCTAAGGGTCGCCAGTATCACTTCTACGTGGTTGAATCTTTGAGATCTGCTGCCTCTCTCTGAGGCTCT